ATGAGTGACCCATCTTTTGGAAAACACCTACTGGGATTTTCCTGAGAGGACAAGCAGAGTCCGTCTGTCAAAATCGCAAAGCACTCTCCCAGATTAATACCTAATACTAAAACCCTCCACTGAAAACTCTGTTATTAATGAACTCTGATGTGCTAGATGCATGTTTTGCTTCATGTCAAGCCTTTTTTCTAACAACAGCAGGGACTAACCGTATGATCCATGCAGCAAAAATACTCAAGGATTTTCCAGTGTCAAGACTGTTTGTGGTTCAGGTACTGAAGATCACCGTTGCTCGTGCCTGCTGCGTCTGCTTTAGTGTTAACAGTGAATAATGGTTTCAGAGAGCAGCACCTTCTTTGCCAGCTCAGTAGTACCTTCAGTGCCCACCAGCACTTTAGAGACAGGATTTTATTGTTTTATTTGTTACAGGCAGAGTTTTTCTGCATCATACTGAGTTTCTTGTAAAATGTTTCATCTGTCACAGTGAAAACACACTCCAACTTTTTCAAGTACACTGTGGACCTGCCACTTTATATTTGAGGTATAAAATCTGTGTCAAGTCCTGGACAGCATGTAGCTGTCACAGACTTTCTGTACATCCTTTTCAGGATGCCAGGAATTCTGGCATGATCACCACTAAGCTAACAGAAAGGCATTTCAGAATAAGCAGAGTACAAACGAAAGATTACCATTAACTTTTCTTGATATTGCATAGGCACTGATGGTTTTCAAGCTTTACTACACATTTCTTGATTCCTGAATAAGATTTTACACACTTTTACAATTTCCTTTTTAGAGTAGCTGTCTCTCAAGTTCACTGCAGTCCTTTGTAAGATAATTAAATGATGCTTATAGAAAGGTAGTAATTCCATCACAAACCCCCAATGAATAAGAAAGCAAATCATCCCTGTCAAAATGTGCTGTGTCTGTGTATCAGACAGCAGTGCGCAGAACTGATAACAGTGAGCTGCTGAGAGGTTTCATTCTTAGGGGTTCATGCAAATTATTTTTTTGCATTAGTACCATATTACTTGGCATCTTTTGCATTTAATTTTAAATTCTTGCATTAAACCAAAGCCAATGCCACACATATGAAATGACCATAACTCGGCTAAAATCAGTTAGGGAAAGACAGTTTGTCATCAGAATCATATTGAAAAAATTACAAATCATGTATTTGCCTAGAAAGATAGTTTTGGGTGTGACTGAAAGTAGGGATTAATGATTGACTCAAAGTAAAATCCATTAGATTTGGGAACTCAACTTTTGCAAAAGTTCTTTATCATGATTCTATGGCAGGGAGAGTCCAAGCCCAAGCTTTTTCTCCAAACAAAGAAAAAAAAATTTGAACCTTTGGCTAGTTCTTGGTTTGTTAGACTAACGGCTTGATCTTTAAAAAAAGGAGATGAAGAGCCAACTGTTTGAAATGTTTGAAGACATATGCCCTGTCGGAAGAGTGTTCAAGAGTTTTCATAACAAAGCTGAAGAGTGGGACCTTGCCTTATCAAGTTATTCCCATTTTCAAGTGTTGTTTTACAGCCAGAAATGATCTAGCAATACTAAGATGTGAGGAGACAGCTATGGAACAAAGTTTTTCAAAGTAATGTAGTATTTTCTGTATTTTCACATCGTGACACACAGCACTCTGAGGAGTACCTGCCCTGGAGGCCAGGCTGGGTGTTGGTACTCATCACAACGCCTTTGGCTTCAGGTTGGTGTTTGACTCGGATGCGTTGCAGAGGAAGGAGGGCTGGTAAGAGCCTGCCAATGCTGAGCTGCCCACGCAAAGCATGTACAGCCTACTTACACCACAGCCACGGGAGCATATGCTTAAAGAGGACACCCAAGGAAAAACGCATGAGCAGAGCTGCTTGCACACCTCACATCTTGGCATCACTCCCTTAAAGCCTTTCCTTTTCTCCTTATGGGATTTCATGGGTCTCTTTCTTCCTGTGTTTAGCTCAGTTGCTAATATCTCAGTACTATGAGTCACCTTCCATCGTAGCGGCCTACACGAATGAGAGATCATGTTCATGCCTGGAGAAGCCCCGGGACGTAGCTAAAGGGAAAAGCCTGAGATTTGGAGTGAGAAATAGAGAATATTTCAGCTAACGAATCAGACTAATATTATGTGGCAGCTGAGTCCATAGGCTTTTGTGCAATATCCTGCAACCCCAAGCTATTGAATTAGATGTTCTGGACTGATAGAGCCCAAAGGCATTGCTTTAAATATCTCAATTAACAATCCCACTGAACATTTAGGAAACTGCTAGACTTTGTCTTTCACATGTCAGTGTTTGGTCTTGGAGAAGTGTAGTCATGGGTGATTAAGACGTCTGAAGTTACTGAAATTTTATGCATACTTGGGCAGAGAATGTCTGAATGTAAACGTCACCCCAGCCCTGGACCAAAAGGCGATGCCACCAGCTCCAAGTGAATGCTGCAAGGCAGAGAAGTGACTCCCATTCGGAAAGGGTACTGCACATTAATGTTGTCCTGTGTGCGGAACAGGCCTTTCTAATTACCTTTGCATCCTAATTAAGCCTTCATCTTAAGTGTCTTTTCAACCCTGTTGCCCTTTAAAGGGCAAGACTATCAAATAGGTGGTACATGAAGGAAACTACACAGAATATCAACTAATGAAAAAATCACTAGGGTGTTACCCTTCCTGACCACACAGTTTAAAAGGTTCTGGGATTTATGATGAAATCAGGAGCATTTTTTTTCTTCATTTCCCAGTCCTCATCTGCTTACATACCTGCAAATACAAAATTCTATCTGATAATTAGTGGTGAGAGAAATCAAAGGGTATGCACTTTAATGTGTCCAAAGCTATGTGATGAATTTAATACAAAGATACCCCCAAAAGATTACAGCTTAAGCTATTCTGCAGTCGATAGAAAGTGTTAAATCTCCTTTAAAAAAAACCCACGCAATTCCCTTGGATGAATCCCTAAATAGGGTTATGATTAAATCGGACATTTGTGAATAAGCTGGAAACTGGCAAATGCCTAGTTTAGATTTATGATTCTAAAGCCAAGTACTGCTGAGCTCAGCAGTAGTCCCCCAGCTCACACCGGTTTTTATCAGTTACAAAACCAATCTGCACTGTATTTCAAGCTCAACAGAGGCACATAGGGAAATGTGATATATTTCGAACTTCAGGCTGAAATTTTATTTACTCAGGCCTGCATCCAGCCCTCTCCTGCTCCATCATACTGGGGATCTTACTGGTTCCTACTGGTATAGGTTAAGGTTTTCTTACCATATATTCATGACAATGCTGTCATATAGGGTATTTCCTACTCATCCTGTTCTTACCCTTTTTTTATTTGACCTTCCCCAGTTGACGGGAACAAAGGCTACTAGTGAAATCTTAAGTCTAATTTTGAAACTTCTGGGAGCCTACATCCTTCTGCAGTTCACCTGCAGCAGACACCAGCCACTGAGCTGTGACAGCAAACATTTACCTACACATCCATCCAGCTTACACTGCTGTTAACAACTCTGGGTCCCTGTAAGAGTAATCAATAAAAGATTTTTGTAATTTTTTCCTGAAAAGCAAAATTACTCCACCATTACAAACTTGCAGCATTATAAAAGTCGCATATGCTTGGGCACAGGGAAGGATGGGAGGGCTTCTGTGAGCGTGCAACACGACCTAGAACATCATAGAATCATAGAATTGTTAAGGTTGGAAACAACCTCTAAGATCATCAAATCCAGCTGTCAACCCAACACCACCATGCCCACTAAACCGTGTCCCAAAGTGCCACATCTACATATTTTTTTAACACCTACAGGGATGGTGACTCCACCATCTCCCTGGGCAGTCTGCTTCAATGCTTGACCAAGTGAGCTGCCACCCTTTCACTGGCTGAATGAAACTGCAGAGTAGCTACAGGCTGGTTTTCATTGGAGATGCCCAATATTTATGCAATAAGTCAGTTTAGAATGCATACATTTTTATGGCTTTTTAAAAACAGTAATTCAAAATAAAAGGATAGATACCAGTCCTTAGAATTACTAATAGTGCAGGCAATTGCAAGGTGACAGGTAATGATGATCTCAAACAGTCAAACAAACAACTTCAGGTAAAAACAAATTTATATGATATATTTCTGAGCCTTCTAGGATTTTGATTTTCAATCCATTAAAAAAACCAATCTGCTTGCCAAGGTACCTGATAGCTCATTTCCAGCTGAGATTTCCAGACTCTAATCACACGTTTGTTGAGATACTTTTTGGAGAATTACTTTTTTTAAAAATAGCAATATGATTTGGAAACACATACCCAGGTGTCCAAGAGGAAGCAGGCTATATTTCTGGCTTGCTTTTTTAATGAACCATTTATATCATAAAAATATTTTTCCTTCATATTTTGAACACTGAGGTATGAGTTAACAAATTAAGAGTGTTCCAAATTTGCCCTCATCCTATGCCACAATTTCTGCCATAATTTATAGCCAGAACTACACAGTGAAAATGTGCAATAATTTACAGCAGGTATTCTAAGTAATACAGCATACAACCACTCCGTTGATAATATGAACTAAATAGCATTTAGTTTTCGTTTGCCCTACCTGTTCTATTTGTACAGATGTGTTAAAAACAGCACTACCCAGCCATAACTTGCAATACATCAAGGGTTTTAAACTTTAAAAAGGCTCATTTTTTAGAAACAGTAATCACACTTCAGAGAAAGAGCAAGAGAATATAATGTTCTCCATCAGGTTATAAAATAAGTGAAAAAAACCAAAACCCAGACATGACTATGCCTCGCATCATCAGAGTATCCACTGGAGTTTCTCCTTTCCAGGTTTAGATTAGGAGCCCTAGATTAGGAGATGAATAAATGTGCAGCAGTTTCTAAAACATTTTTTTAATCCCTCATGTCAAATGGAACATTGACCAGAAAGGTAAACCTGAATTGAGGGCCATTTTCCTTTGCAGAAATGACTTTTTACATTTTCTCAGGTGAAAAAGGAAGTTAAACTTACCAAGGGAAAACTGAAGGACGGATGCAGTAGTTGTGTTAAGGCCAGTGGTGGTCTACAGGAAGAAGAGCAAACAGCGGAGAGATTTTGTTAGATCAGCAAAACAATACATTTCATCCCTTGTTTTTCTGTGAAAGCATGGAAACTCTCTGGATACCTACATCTACAGTGCATAAAACTATTAATTGCCAGCCCTTTCAGGTTGAGTGATCATGGACATCTCTGTTATGTCATTTCGATTATTGGCATCTCATCATGTGTCAAAGCTGGAAATTTTTATCTTACATCATATTAAATGTCTATAAATCAAGCACATTTATATGAAACACTGGCTATTTAGAACTGACTGGTGTTTAGAAGATTGAAAAAATAAATCCTGTGGTTTATGGTCAGCTTAGTATAAACAGTATATACAGAAGAGTTTTCACTTCTCCCAGCACAGAAGAACCAAAAAATGATCATAAATAAATAATAAAAATAACTTTAATTAAACCTAAAATAATAAAATGAAATATTAAGAGGGAATAATAGAACCTAAGTCTTCAAAAGCAAAACAAAAAATACTTGGTGATACTGCATAATATATACAGTGAAATTTTGTAGTAGCATCTACACGTTGTTGACATCCAACCAAAACCTGGAAACAAGCAGAAAACACCAAGCCGCTCACTCTGTTTTCAGCAGATCACTCTCCTTTGAGGCCTTCCTTTCTCCCTTCTTTCAATGCCCTTGTATTTCAGTAGTTTGAATTAGGACAGTTCTTCTGAAAATACTTAAAAATAAAAGGCACTAGAGTATTGTGAAGGACACCTATTTATTTTCAATTCATTTTGGAAGCTGGACTTAGAAATACTGGTTCATAACAAGCAAGGCAGAAGCACTGCACTAAAAACACTGCCTGATCGAGTTATTTTCTCAAAGAGCTGAAAAATCATTGCAACTGTTTAGCAAGCAGAAAGACCAACTGGAGGATCACCCCAAAAATAGGAGACTCAAAGTTTGATTCATTCACTTTAATAAAAGACCCAACAAAGATGTAATTTATCATTATAAGCAGATTTTAGAGACTACACTGGAGAAGGGAAAATCTACAAGCTGAAACACAATGGCAACGTTAGATTAAAAAAGTAAAGGAAAAAAGGCTTGACCTGGCAAGAGGGTAAGTTTACACAGCCATAAAAGAAGTCATCTAATTGGAAAACCAGGGACAGCAAACACCTTAAATAAATTCATTTGATATCTTTGCCAGTGATGCCTGCATCTTAGATTTCAAGACAGTGCAGTTATCCTTCCATGTCAGACCCTATGCACCAGTAATTCATGTAATTTCCTATGACATGCAACAGATACTTCCATCGAATGTGGTCCACATCCATACACCACATCATACCACAGATATGCCACAGAGAAGCCAACCTTCTGAGCAAATTTAGCCCCAGAAGTAAGGTCCTGGGGATAGCAGGCTGAGTTATGGGTTTCTATTATATTAGTTTACATTCAATTAATTATGTTATTCAATTCTAAAATTCTAAAAAAAAACTAAACACTTTACCAATGTTCAGTGGCTCATATCACCAAGAAATTAAATGTATCAGTTATCACAGAAGAGACATTCAAGTAGACTTAAAAGAGACTATGTCGGGAATCATTTCAGCAATGCTTTAGAAAAAAAGCATTAGACTTAGTAAAAACATTTCGCAAAGTTCTGCAAAAGACTACTAAGTTCAGATGCTGCAGTGAAGCTGTTAGGGAGCCTTTATTAGCCATTTCCCTTGGCTTGAAACGTCTCTGACGCTATACATCTTTCCAGGATTTTGCCAGTGGTAACTTCTCACCGACAGACATAGACAGTTTGCACTAAAAAAACCTCTGCCTGCAGTAACAGGCAGCTGCTGGGAGTCAGAAGAAAAGAGAGAGGTCAAGGAAGCAAAGCAGCAGCTGTCACAGCTGTTGATATAATACATTTTGCAATTCAACTCTTCTTAAGTATTTTAAAGCAATAATGTGGCACTGGGAGACATGAACAGGAACAGATTTCAAAAGCCTTTTCGAGCAGGGACAGAATAAGGTTCAAATAGTAAAGGTGATAGAATAAAAATGCGTAACGATTGGAAAAATGAAACAGGTTTTTAAATTTATGTCAGGAAGAGATATTTTGTGAAATTGCTGAAACATGACTACAAATAAGAAGCAAGTTGGTTCTAAGAAAATAAGGAATTAAACCTATGTCCATACTCAAAACCAAAACCAGATCAGATTTCTTGTGCTCATCCAAAATGTTCAGCCACTAGAACGTTCCTTCAGAAGGATTTGATTTTTCTGCAACACTGCCATAATATTTATAAACACTTTCATTATTAGGCTGCTAACTGTTTATAAGCATGATGATTTTTTCAGCTGATTATTTAATCACATCACTTTGGCATTGTGATGATTTTTTCCAAGTTTGTGGTGCCATGGTAGAGCTATTTTACCACATGATAATACGGCAAATACAGTCCAATACTGGATTCTGAAGCCAATTTGAGATTACTAAGGATAGTCTAAATTACATATCAGCAGGGAGAAGACAGCTAATTAATGACATTTCAAAACCCTCAGAGTCGGGACCCTAGGTTTGCTAAATGTCATAAATAGATTGGTTTTCAAGGAGTGTTACCTGTGCTCAGTACTACAACTATAAATGAGTTAAAAAAATTGGGAAAAATATCCCAGTGGTGTGACTTCATTTCTGCACAGGACATAAGACTATGCATCTCTTCTCAAGGCAGTTAACAAAACATAGTACATTCAAATAGGATTCAAAGTAGCAGAGAGGCAATTAAGCATCCCTGTCAGGATTCCCTGGCTGGAGCTGGCTGTGAGGGAAGTGACTGAAATTCTCCTTTATCCGTAAACCCTCTAAATTAGTTTTATATGTATTTATGATTTTTGATCACCACACCAACAACTTCTACATTGCATTTGTGGAATTCTGGTCTCAGTTAAGAATGTAAAATTAACCCTGTTACAAGAATTGTCAGTATCTGAAATTAAGAGAAGATGCTTGGCCAAAACCACTTCTGTTTTATGGCCCTCTTCCATGTTTGCTCTTCAAATAGCTCTAATCAGCCTCTCCCTCCACTCAGAAGACTGTTGAAAACATGAGAATTAGTTTTGAACTACACAGGCTTTGAGTTGCCCTTTTAATTTTTCAGATCTTTCCAAAAGTCCCATTTTACGTAGATTGTTCCAGCTAGCTGCCCAGCATCAGCGTGTGGGCATTGGTTATATATCTTTCAATTAATTTTCCATACCCAGATGATCCCAAGTTAATGCAGATTGTACCACGTTTCTTACAGCAATTTTATGACCAAACTACCCTCCAATGAAATTAATTCTGTCCCCTTCATCATGACTCAATTTGTTACACACACTTTCCTAAGACTGGCAGGTGTTTGCTCCAGGCTGCATTTAAGTCTGTACGATGCATTGTTCACAAATGATGTTCTACAACCAAATTAACATTTGTCAACAGCAACAAGAAAAAAATGGGACACAACTAATAAAGTAAGAGAAGAAAAATGCACCTTGTCTCTATTTCATTGTTGGAAATAAAAAGAGAGTGATGTCAGTTGGGCAACACAGTTCTATTTCCTTGCCTTTCCAGTATTTTATAGATACTTTAAACTTGGATGCACACTGGATCAAGAGACTTTCCCTTGCAAACTACTGCAATAACCTTTGGTTAGCATCTATAGTTTAAAACACTGGGATTTCCCTGGCGTGCTCTTCTATGGCCCTATTACCTTGCTTAAGAGCCTTTTCACTGAACACCAAACTTTCAGAGCACACCAACATCTCTGCAGTTGACACAGCATTGATTCATAGCCTGCAGTCCCAGCCCTGGCAGAGGAGCCAGCTTTCGCTTACCAGTTCTCTGGGACCATATGGCTCGCAGAAAGTGACGGCGTTGCCGTGCATTATCACACCACACTGCTCTCCAACCTCGCAGTTACTGCATTCAGACCTGCAGGAAGAACACACCATGTTCAAAATGGAAATCAGAAACTGTACATTTGAGACCGCATCGGGCTTGTAAATTGTAAAATAAGACCATTATATTTTGACACTCAGACAAATTGGACTGTTTTGCTATCATGGTGCTGAATGTAAAGTTTGAGCAACTGTGTGTATGATGTACTAGAGCTGCTTCTTGAGAAAGGCCCTTGTGAACAAGTACTTGCTCTCTGCAAATTGTCCCCCCTCCAAAAGGAATGTCCCTAGTCATTGACTGCAAAAAATCACACAGTGGGAAACCAAGTTGAACATTTACATGTGTAATTTACCCTGAAGTTACTCCTCTTCCAAAATCCTTACTGCGCATTCAATATAACACATGTAAATCCACCATCACGGAGTTACTGTACAGAACAGCTCAGGAGAACGGGTTGGGATCAGCTCCCCTCCAGCCTGCAGGGTTATTTACCCCAAGGGGCAGACTCCAGGCTGCAGACCCTACCTGAAACTGGGCACCAAGATGCTCCTATAGCCCAGCTGCTGTAATACAGGTGTTGCTGCTGCTTTCTATTTGTATTTATCATGTCCCGTATTCCTAGTAACAGAGAGTAGCCAACCTGTTCACCTTTTAGGGGAAAAAGTATGAAGAAAATCTCAAAAAGACTTGAAAGTGCTGCTGAGCCAGCTAAGTGTACCTCTCCTGATATTTCTTAATTTAATATGAAG